CACGGGACATTTCAGCTTCTCACGCATGCTAAGTGACTGCCCTCACCCCCCCCCCCTGAATTGGCTACACTCCCCCTGGCTTGCGAATTTCCTGTTGCCGCAACGCCCCGCGCGGCGGCTGCCCCCCCCTCCGAGCCACATTGCGCCCTTTTATGTCTTGATTAATACTTTCCAGTTGTTCCGCGGGCGAGCGACGTCGTGAACCCGTCGCACAACTCCGGGTGGATGTGGCCATACCGGGTGTGTTGGTCGTAAGCAATTTTGTTTATTCATATGAAGTGAGTGCAAAAAACATCGAAAAAATACAAGAAATACACCAAAACCAAGATTATCGACCGGAGCGCCCCATCTGCGCCCAGCGCACGCGTCATGCGCCAGAGCGCGTGTTGACGCTCTTCACACTGTCGGTGCGGTCGGCGCCGTCGGCACCGTCGGCACCGACCGCACCGATGCGAACTATGAAAGCAGCCTGAGGGGGGTGGGGTGGACCTAACCACAGCTTGCCAACTCTGATCTCCACCACACGTCAAGGTGCAGGAAGACCGCATAATCTGGGCTAGGTCCACCGATCTGCCATCAGCTTTTCTGAATCCAATGCTCGGCCATGGGAAATCTGGCATTTGGTAAACTATCAGAATTTTGAGTATTGGCTTAGTGGTGCTATCCTAAGACTTAAAAATCGTTTGTTCTGATTCGCTCCCAGCAAATACCCTCTAAATGTCTATATTTGTCACCACCTTCCATTTTGTTATAGTTTAGTCATTAAATAAAAAAAAAGATGAGAATATTTCACATGATTCGAAGAAGAAACTCGCGACAGCTGATTCCATCCAGAAATCAGCTAAAATCAGCTTCTGTGAAGAAAAAAACAAATAAAAACCGAAGAACGACACCCTCTTCTTCCCGTTTATTTCAAATTTGGACGAACCACAACCATTGGCACAAGACAGATAAGCAAAGGCCGCAGAACCACTGCTACCGTAACCCTCGGCCGCGCCCTTTAAAGATTGAACGCTCACTCCTTCGGACTGCGAAAACCGTCTTGTCACCAAAGCCACCCTTGCCTTAGGTGGCTATCCAAGAAATACACGCAGCACTAGCCTCGCCGTTCTCGCGGCGAGGTCAACGCTGCGCGCGCTTCGCGCGCAGAGCAAGGGAGGTTGACTCAACAACAAGAATCTAACCTCAGCACCTAGCCGATGGGCTACCGTAACCCTGACGTGACATGCGCGTCCGCCGCAGCCGCATACTTTGCACTCGGCTCGACGTCTGATTGAGTTCCTTTCTCCTAGTGGTTCAAGCTGGGATTCCTTTAACTTATTCTTTACTATCTGTTGCTCATTCCACTTCTCACACCTATCGAGCAAATTGGAAGTTTTTTCACTGCACTATTAAACTTTTCGTTCTATTCTTAGCAAATATGTAGTGAATCTGCTAACAGTAAGGAGGATAAGGGCATGGTAGGCGACAAATTAGCTCACAATACGGCTCTGAAGGCTTATTAGAACATACTATGCGCAGGCTTATTAGAATATACTATGCGCAGTCGTGGCAAAAGCCAGGATAATGATGGTCATGACTGTGCGCTCTTTGGCGTTCTCATACATCTTGAGAAGGGGTTTTTTGTGGGTGCGGTTGACCAAATTCGTGAGGCTCGTCTCCTTAAACTGGTGAACTAAATATTGATCCTCGGTAGAAGTAGATCCTCAAGTTACCAGGAGTTTATCGCGGCGGTACGGTGATCTCGAATTTTCGTCTCAGTTAGGGGTAAAGGGCGAGGTGTAGTATGTAGTAAAAACTCCCTCATAGGCGGACCGTCGTGAAATCCAATCCCCGGATCCCGCCAGAGCAAAGATGTCTTCCATCTACATAGGGTAAAGGAACTCATGTAATAAAATAAATAGCGATTTGTACATCAGCAGGCTCCCACCTTTTCATACAGGCGAATTTGTATACAGATGCTGCTACGCTTTCAAATGGAAGCAGAATGAGTGGCGCAGTCCTCCACAAAAGCCGAAGCTGTATTGTACCTCATCACGGTCAGACCACACTTCGGTACATGAAATTTTTAGAATTTTTGGGCGCCCACCACTCATTCTTCGATGTGCTCCCGACTTAAAACACACTGGAGGAAAAGGCTCCCAGACAATACCTAACCATTTGGGCGCGGCCGCGGCGAACGCGGCCGAGTTGATAGGTGCCCGCGAACTCAGCACAGCACAGTTCGCGGGCACCTCGAGTGCGTTTTCAACGGTTCGCGGGCACAATCGACTCGGCCGCGTTCGCCGCGGCCGCGCCCAAATGGTTAGGTATTGTCTAGGAGCCGAGGAAAGGCCACGTATATGTAGACACGCTTTTCTCGAGAAAAAACAGGATATAAATAATCTTACAGAAGAGACGTGTTGCGCAGATCATAACTGTATTTCACGTTGGCGCTAAATTGTTCTCTGTAGTCATCATCGTCTAAGCATATTATGGAGACTTTTCGGAATCTTTCAGTGTGAGGCAGGCGCAAGAGGCTTGTCTAGTTCGAATTGCGCAGCGTGGGCTCTCACGGAGCAGAGCAGTCTGCTCCGCTGGACCCCCCCCCCTGAACAATGATACCAAAAAAATGAAGTATTTAGGGAAAAACGAGTGCTTAATTGAGATGTTACACTTTTTTCTAAACGAGCTTTCCACTTTTCGTCCAGACAGCACTGTTCACATTTTACAGTCTCTAGCACTCTCATGGCAGTACTTCTTATACAATGTACTGTCTGCCGCTAGCCTACATTAATACTCCTGTGCAGAGTCTCACAAATGAGTAGCTCTCAAAAATTGTAACCGTCGTATAGAAAGCCCCAATGGACGCGTTTTTCTAATAAATCGATATGGAGATTTCCCTCTGAAAACCTACGGAATACAGAATGGAAACCTGCGGAATACAAAACACATCATTCGGTGTTTGCCGTTACAAAATCCTATGAGGAGACGTCGAGCTGAATACGAAGTGTGCGGTTGCGGCGGGCGCGCATGTCACGTCAGGGTTACGGTAGCCCATCGGCTGAATGCTGAGGTTAGATTCTTGATTCTTGTGACTCAACATGCCGGCGAAGCACGCTCCGGCCAGCTCGGCAGGTTGCCACATTCACCCTTCTACAGCTCAGGTGCTCCGTACAATGGACGGGCTCCGTATCGTCCATACTGTCGTCGTGGAGTGCGCAGAAAAACGACAAAAGAGGCATGTCGAATGCCACGTGGCATCGATTTGTTGCGGCCGCGGATTACGGTAACAGTCGTTCCGCGGCCTCTGTTATCCGTCTTATGCTATTGGCGGATTGTGGGGCGTAAGGCAACTTTTTCGCTATGGGGACTCGATTTACGGACTACTTGATTTTTCCTCAATGGTCCTGCCGCGATGGCTAGAGACGATTAGAGAACGGGTGAATGCCCTAGGACTAAGCCTTGGAGAGGAGAGGGACCCGCGAGAGAGCGCAGAGGCGGTTTAAAGGGCTGAGTTCAAGTAGCCCGTCAACCATGGGGACCCCAGGCCCACACCTGATCATGAGTGGGCCTTGGGTGCATGTTAAATGGGGTGTGGTTCACTAGAACAGAAAGCAACTTTTTTCGTTTCGAAACATTGTTCGCTGCGGGAACCTCGGGTCCACTGATGATCAGCGGTGGACCTGAGGTTCCCTGCAGCGAAAAATGTTTCGCGCTGCAAAACGCGAAAAATTCGCTTCCTGTGTACTTCTTATCAAATGGCGCGGTCACATTGCCATTGGGGAGGCGGTCATATGGCGCGGTCACATTCCCATTGGGACACATGGGCTGTAATTGCCACCCAGGACGAGTTGTCTGGCCGCCTGTATTTCGGCCACAACTCGTCCGGATCACCGAACGAATAGATTATCGTGGTTGATCTGTCTACAATGGAGCGCGCCAGAGTAGACTGGACTGCAGAGCCTCCCAAGTTTCACCATTCTCGACTCTTCTTCCGGCTTCATTCTTGCGCTGAGTTCGCTCTGCACACTTCAACTATTGGAATGACTGTAGAGTTACTTCGAAGTGATTGTGTCACGATCATTTTGGAGCTGTGATACATTGCACTTCCCAGCAACTTGCAGTGCATGGTAACAATTCCTATACGTGGTAAGTATTGTTGCCTTCTTTTGTTCAATGAACAGTGTACTGGAATGTCTATTGTCTTCATC